GGGAAAAACAGAGGGAGAGGCGGGGGGTGGGGGTGGGGGAGAGACAGAGAGACCAAAACTGAGGGCACACCCTCAGGACCCAACACTCATGAGGCTGAGGCAGGAGGATTTTCTGGATTTCAAGGTCAGCCTGGGCTACATAGTGAGTTAAGGCCAACCTGAATTACATAGTGAGACCCTGTCTCAAAAAATTTCCGCCAAACAAAAATAAAATAATAACCTGGGCTGGGGATTTAGTTCAGTGGCACCGAGCCTGCCTGGCAAGCAAAAGGTCCTGAGTTTGATCCTCGGTAGCAAAAAAAAAACCAACCAAACCAAACAAAACATAAAACTTGCCAGGAGTGGTAGTGTACATCTCTAATCCCCCACTCTGGAGGCTGAGGCAAGAGGATTGCAAATTCCAACCCAGCCTGGCAATTTAGTAATTTAGTGAGACCCTGTCTCAAAAGAACAATAAAAAAGGGCTGGGAAGTAGCTCAATACTGAAGGGGGAAAAAAAGATAAATCTCTAGTTAGACTGCTCAGGGTAAAAAGAACATACAAATTACCAATATCAGGACCTCTGAGAGCAGCAATGTCACTACAGATTCCACAGATACTAAAAACCCTAAATAGCTGGGCGTGGTGGCACATGCCTATGATCCCAGCACTCAGGAGGTTGAAGCAAGAGGATTACCATGAGTTTGAGGCCAGCGTGGGCTACATAGTGAGTTCAAGGCCAGTCTGGACTACACATCTATCGAGACTCTGTTTTAAAAAAAAAAAAGTGTGTCACCAAAAACACAATAAAGGAGTAACAGTGTGGAGAACTTTACTTATTTAACTACATGAATGTGAATGGACACATTTCTTGAAAGACAACTTCCCAAAGCTTGCTGAAGAATAAACTGATGATGAAATCTCCCTATATTAAAGAAACCAGAGCGGGTGAGAGTGGGGCGGGAAGGGCACAGAAAAAGAAGGTGCGGTGGGGCTGGGGATTTAGCTCAGTGGCTCTGCCGCCTGCCTGGCAAACGCAAGGTCCCAAGTTCGATCCCCGGTACCCAAAAAAGCAAAAAACAAGAAGATGTGGTATGTACATATACCACCTCCTCATGATGAATGTAATCATTAAATACTGCACACATGTACCAATAGAAATAGTCTTATTATTATTATTTTTTATTTATTTATTTTTTTGGTACCAGGGATGGAACACAGAACCTTGCGCCTGTGAGGCAGGCGCAGTGCCACTGAGCTAAATCCCCTGCCCTAATAGAAATAATTTTAGAGAAGAAAAAAATTTTTAATGCATTTCTAGTTTAAGACCTTCACACCTAGGGAACTCCATTTTTAAAATTAATTAATTAACTAATTAATTTCATTTTTCAAGACAGGGTTTCACAATGTAGCCCAGGCTGGCCTCAAACTCTCAACAACCCTCCTTCCTCAGCCTCCCGAATACTGGGAGTACAGGTAAGTGCCACCATGCCTGGCAGTTTTCATACTTTTTTTTTTTTGGTACCGGGGATCGAACTTGGATCCTTGCGCTTGCGAGGCAGGCGGCAGAACCACTGAGCTAAATCCCCAGCCCAGTTTTCATACTTTTAATAGTTAAACATTTAAATTTATACATTAATAGAGCTTCAAACAGTTTGTACTATGTATATAAGGAAATAAAATTGAATCAATATAAAAATTAACACTTCAGTGTTCATTAATGGGTTCTTTTGTCTTTCTGGAAATTGCTCAGAATTGTTACAAATACATGAGGGAAAATCATAGTCTAGATTGTGATAACCAGCTTCAGAGATGGTTCTCAATGGTCCTCTCTTCCGGTTCCAGAGGCCCTTGTGTATCCCCTCCCACATGGAATCCCAGCCAAGCTCTCTGACCAATGGAATGGAATGAAAGTGACAGGGTGTGATGTCATAATAGGCATCACAGCCTCTGGCTCCTCTCTGGAAACACCCATGCTAAGGCCAACCAGCCTGAGTGTGCAGGGTGTGAACCATCTTGCAAAGGCCTTTCAACCTTTTGAGAGACCCCAATCCAGAACTGCCTAGCAAGGGCACCTGAATTCCTGACCCACAGAAACTGTGAGAGATAATCAATGATTATTATTTTAAGGTATGAAGCTTTTTTTTTTTTTGGGTACCGGAGATCGAACTCAGGACCTTGCACTTGCAAGGCAGGCACTGGAACCACTGAGCTAAATCCCCGGCCCTAAGGTACGAAGCTTTGTGTAATTTGTTATGTAATAATAAAAAATGAATGCTCACCTCTTTTGAAGTCAATATTTATTAAAAGATGCATTCAGATGTCTTTTTTTTTCTCTTTGGTACTGAGGATCGAACTCAGGACCTTGCTCTTTCGAGGCAGGTGGGGTGCCACTGAGCTAAATCCCCGGCCCCACTGCATTTAGATTTCTGCTCAAAATGTGTCTGAGAGGTTTTTCTTGGCCAACCTGCCTAAATTGGCCCCTGCTCTCATTTCGTGTTTTTGCCTTGATTTTTCCTCTTTCCATTTGCATGTGACAGTTTATTATGTAAGTATGTGTGTGAATCTTCTCCACTTCAATGGAAGCCCCATTTTATGAGGACAAGGACCTAATTTTGTTCACTATTGCCTCTGAGGCCTAGGCTTAGAATACTGTCTTGTATTTAATATCAACTCATAGGTAACTGTTTAATCAATGAACAACAAATAAAATAATATTCATATTTTCTATGATATGCTCAAAGGCATATATTAAGAGAAGATTCTAATAGAATTTTATAAATTTCTTTCAAGCAGCTAGCATTCTCAGTATCACAGGCCAGTTGATTCATATCAGATATTTGGCAGTGTCTGTATGAAAAAGTGTTTTAAAAAGTGAAATACAGAAACAGTCTCATTACAGATCAGCGTTAATAGAGTATTCAAAATTGCTTCTGATGACAGAAAGCACTCATTGGATCATAATTCAGTGAAATGTTATCACTTGCTACATTTTAAAATTCTCATTAGTAACCCTGAATTCCAAAATTTATTCACTACTACATTGTGAATTTTATTGATAAAAAAAATTTGCCCTTCCTCTTGGAAATGCTACCGAGGGTCTAATAAGGAAGAGATCTCTCTTGGTCCGCAAAGGATAAGCTCAAGTCTCGGTTCAGTTCGGTTCGGTTCGATAAGCTATTTCGGTGGTATTTGGGGGAGCTAGCAGCTGATAATTGTTTTATCCTTATGCTGAGAGACACCATAGACTAGATGTTTAATAAATACTGGATAGTGAAAAAGTTACCAGAATTTTTAAGTAGCTGCGGTTGTGACCTGGAATTTTCTTCATCTTTTTTTTTTTTTTTTTTTTTTGGTACCAGGGATCGAACTCAGGACCTTGAGCTTGCGGGGCAGGCGGCAGCAGCACCGCTGAGCTAAATTCCCGGCTGGAATTTTCACAAATAGTTGAGGGGCCAGGGATTTAGCTCAGTGGTTCCGGCGCCTGCCTCAGAAGCAGAAGGTCCCGAGTCCGATCCCTGGTACCAAAAAACCCCAAAAAACAAAGTAATAGTGGAGATCATTGATCACAAAGTGTTACATGGATGTTTGTACTGGTTTTATTATTTTTTTTTTTGAGGTGGTCCCACTATGTAGTTCAGGCTGACCTCAAACTCTCTGCTATACTCTTGCCTGTCTCCTAGTGCTGAGATTACAGGCGTGCTCCACCAACCCCAGTTTATCCATACTTTTAAAAAACTGGAAATAACAAATATGTACAATAGCTAAAGAAGCTATGTTATATCCGTATAACTTTCAGTGTATTTTGTCGTTTTTGCCTTAATAAAATTCTTAATTTATATACAGATAAAATTTATGTGGCTATGGAGTAGAGTGGTGCTTAAAAGAAGTAGTGGTTAGTTAGAAATTTTAAAAAATGAAAATATCCGGGGCCGGGGATTTAGCTCAGTGGTTTCGCCGCCTGCTTTGCAAGTGCAAGGACCCGAGTTTGATCCCCGGTACCCCCCCCCCCCCCCCGCAAAAAAGAAAATATCCTACCGATGCTGGTGAATTACCAGCTTTTGGGGCTGATAAAAGCACTTTGATACATTTCTTAGACGAACGGGGGAGAAAATTTCATTAGGCGCCTTCAAATGCAGCATGTAACAGACGTGTTTTTCACATGAGCAAGAAAGAGCTTGCCTCTCTGGACAGTCACTGCACTGGCCCTACGGGACCCTCAATCCCGTCTGGTCTGTAGCTATTCCCTCATTCTCAGTTCAATCCTGGCTCGCCTGCACTGGCACGACAGGGGCGCAGCAAGTGTCCAGAATGACAACCAGAAAAACACAGCAGAGGCGAAAACGGTTTAGACAGGGACCCGGGCGGGCTCGGCCCCGGGTTGGGCTCACGCGCAGCCCGCGCCGAAGTCCCCGCACCCGGCCCTGCCGCTCACGGCCCCGGTCCAGCCCGAGGCAGCACCGGAAGCTGCCAAGGGGCTTTGGGCCGGCCCCTCCCCGCCGCAGAACCGGTAGATCCGGCTCGGCTTGGCTCGGCCGGCCGAACCTCCCCGGCGAGCAGGGCGAAGGGGGACGTGCGCGCCGCGGCCGGCGGCCCAGACCTGGACCCCGGGCGCCCTCGGCCGGTTCCCGCCCCGGCCGCACGTCAGCACCGCGGGCGTCGCTTGCGGCCCGCAGCCCCGCGGCCCGGCCCGGCCCGGCGTTGTCAGGTGACGCGCGCCCCGCCCAGCCGGTCACGTGGGCCGCGGGGCTGCGTCAGTCAGGGCCGAGTTGCGGGAGCCAAATCGTCGCTGCCGCCGCCCGTGGACGGGGCGAGAGCTCGGTGCCCGGCCTGCGTCAGCCCGCCCCCGCCGCTCAGGCAGCCGCCGCGGGCTGGGCCCCGGCGTCATGGAGCGGGGCGGGGCCTCCGCCGCTCCCCTGTG